GATTAAAATAAGAACAGTCCCGTAAAAATAACATAAAAGCATGTTGAATTTCTCCATTTCCATCCATAAAAGATAAGATTCTCCCTCCACTTCCACGAAACCATCGACGAGGAATGCTGTCCAGGGACGACACCACACTGCAACACGAGACACCACACAACACGTGCGACCTATCAATTTTCACAGAAGTGTCAGGTGATGCAAGGAAGTGATTCACACGCCCAACCGCCAGACATGCTAAGCTACGCGTTTCGATGCTTTCTACTACTTCCCGCACTTCTGCGCATTGTCGTCATTCCCGCCAACCGGTTCATCATCAACGTCCCCCAGCCGCTTCGTTTTGTCTTCTCCAGATTTAATTACTGTATGGAAGGAATTATTTTCATTACATGCCTCTCTATTCTCCAACGTGCTTCACTGTAAATTCACCAGCGCTGCAAACTGATGCAATAATAGGGGCCGATTAATTTCTATCATCATGCGCGGAAGCTCCTGTTCTTTTGCCTGCGGATGGCTGCCTCTGCTAGGTGAGTGGTTTCAAAAGCAAAACTACTTGCAAGACGATACTACACATATTTGGAATGCCCTTCACAATATGATGTTACTTGTAAATTCCACCATAACGCTTCAGTCTTCTTTGGAACACAAGTGCGGATTCGGGATAGACGAAATGGCTCTTCACATGAGCTTGAATGGGCCTCAACTACCCTAGTCCTCTTTTTGCACCTTCGTCTTCCTTTCTCCGCTTCCGCCTCCACCTCCGCTTTCGCCTCTAACTCTACTTCTACCTCCTTCGCCACGTCCACATTCTTCTTCTCATTCTCACCTCCATTCTTCATTGCCTCAAACTCAACCACCTCCGTCTCCTCCTTCTCCTTATTTCTATCCTGGGTCTTGTTTGTCTTCACCTTCAGGGTCTCACTCTTAAGCCCATTCACATTCACCCTCGCCTCCGTTCCTTCCTCCACCACCTTCCCTTCTCTCACACTCAGTCTCCAATCACCTATAAACACACACACCTATGCAATGCATGTATCCGAGCATCTCATTTGTGCGCCTACCTGTGTCTTCTTCCTCTCCAACTGACCAGTCATCTGCCATGCACAAGCAACTCCAGTTCAATTCACTGTCCCACTCACTGCCACACTTCTCTCCTCTCAACTCAGCATGTCAATCACAATGTGAAACACAATCACCTTTGTAATATTTTACGATTTGCACAGGAAACGCTCCGCCTGGTCGGCAAACTGCAACGAAAAAAATACAATGGGACATTCACCAGTCGCCTTGGCACTGAAGTCACACTACTGTCCTCGTCTTCCAGCCCCATTCCCTGTATTCTCTTCCTCCGCTTCCAACTGCCACTCACGACCACATGTGTTGAGGAACACTAGAGCGAATGATACCACAATTTACGCAACAATCCATTTGTGCAAAGCGGAACTGATATATTCGGTGCTCCGAAATTCCACTCTTTGTACATCAGCACTGATATGGATGCCAATGTCAGTGGTGGAAAACACTTGAGTAACTAATTTCCACCATAGTTCTGAGGGCAAATAACAGCCCTGTTAACACAAAACCGTTTGAGCACAATCGAGCAGTGGATTGTGAGGCAAGATATTGGCGAATTCGGTTTTGTGATGCATGGACGCTAATCGAAAGTGTAGTGTTATAGGTTGACAATTTATGTCATAAAGTACAAGGTGGGCAGGATAGTGAGTATATGTAACTGCCGTCACAAGGCAACGCGACTTCAATCGATTTGTCCACGTGACAGGCTGGAGTTCGCGGACTGCCTAGGCAATCACAGTCTGCAGAAGTTGTCCACTGTGATGAGCACTATCATCAAGTTGACCGGGCCTACCTCAGTCTCCCTTCACTGCTTCACCTTGAACCCTGAACTACCTCTGTGTTTTGTTAGGATCACCCTTATCATTATCTACGCTGTTTGCTGGAAATACTGACGAGATCGCGCGCCATGTCAAATTACTCGTCATCCTCCTCGACAGAGGGAATCGTTGTCAGCCTCAGGAGGGCCTAACACTTGGAGGGGTGAGTTATGAACAATTGCATGACTGTGGAGGCAAAGGTGGAAGCGGAGGAAAGAAAGACGAAGGTGGAGAAAAGAAGAGGGCGAGGGTGACTAAAGCGCATTTAAGCTCGTGTAAAGAACTGCTTCCGTCTATCCCAAATGAGAGCATGTGTTCCAAAGAAGTCCGAAGCGTTGTGATCTGATTCACATGGAACATCACATTGTGGAGGACATTGTAGACAAGTGTAGCATCATCTCACAAGTAGTTTTGCTTTTGAAATCACTTGCTTAGCAGAAAAAGACATCCTCAGGCAATGCAACTGGAGCACCCGTGCAAGATGACAGAACTTGATTGGCCTCCTACTATTGCATTGATTTGTAACGCCGATGAATTCACAGTGAAGCCCGGAGGAGAATAGAGAGGTAGTTGATGCAAATAATGCTTTTTCATATAGTACTTTATTTGCACTTTATGCGTTCAACTCATATAAATCCCCATTTCACCACACAAAAAATCTGGTCATTCAAGGGAACGTCATTTTATACTCACCAATACGCTTCACGCCTACAAGTGCGACTGCAGCCACACAGTTTTACATCTGGCCCCTCCCTTTTATAGGGCATCACTGATTATTGACCAGCCAATTAATAAAGTTAATTCCTTAATCAATTAGGCGGCACATTAAATGCTTTTTTTTAAAAAAAATGTTGATAGTCCAATCGAAGCGATAGCTTTCTTGTGTC